ACTGATTTGGATCATAGGAACATAACTGGTTATCCATTTCTTCTGTTAGGGAAAAAATCATCAAGATACATTATTTCATAATTCTCCAGCATTGATGTAAACCTTAATGGTTTTACTAGACACGCCCTACATTAGATCGCATAGCTGTACAAGATCACAAATTGGAACGCTGCGTTATACATCCCTTGCAACTGCTCACCTACTTAGATAAAAGGCTTTTCAGAGTATCGGCAAACTTCCAAATACATATTCAAACTCATTCTACCCCGAACTCTGATTATAAAAGTGTTGTGAAAAAAGTGTCGTCAAACCCTATGTACTTGTAGGATCTTTGATCATGAGCATGAAGTGGTCTTGGACACTAAATGATAAACTGTCAGTCCGTTCTTTTTTGAAGCACCACATTTAATTTTCTTACACATCGTGATATTATTTTCGTATCCTTGGGTAATTACTTTCTCCCATCTATGCACCTTATCCTAGTTATGACGGAATGAACACCCAAACTGTTGAATGTTGGTATTACTGCCACAACAAGCACAGTAGGCCTTCCGGAAACTGTTAGGAATCCTGCAGTTTTTCCAATCTCAAACATACTGTCACGAAACTCTTTCAGGAAACCTCCCCACCGGCGCGCATTAAAAGCATCCTCAGCCGATGGACATAGATGTTTGTTATACACCATTCATGTGATGATTAAAGTTCTCTATTTCGTCGACCGTGGTGCATTATTAAGCGTTCCTCCCACAAATACAAGTGACCATCTTCAAGAACCGTTCATCGACTTTCACAAGGTAAGTAGAACACCAATCGCCACATATGGCTGAAGGTATGTTCAACTTTATTTCAGTTTGAACAGATGCATTCACTTGTGTTCTGTTGCTGAAAGCATTTTGATGCCAATCACTGATATAGACCTGACACAACACAAGCTGTTCATCAATTCAAGCAAACGAAGGTCATTAGACAGAAGTTCACTTTCCGAATGCATGCTTCGTCACGAGAAAACATATAACCGATCTACACTTCCGAAAATCACTGAACAAAAAGCTTTCAAAACGCAACCGAAACTACGACATGTAACCAGCAACGTTACACACCACATACTGATTACAGGATCAACTGCTTATTCGAAAGCTCGTCAACAAGTTTCCGAATGGCTAAGATTCACTAAATACGAATTCGAGCACATAAGAGTCTTGTAAATTACCCTGTGTATGATATTCTACTAGAACTGTGGACGCGATACCGATAATACCCGAGTTTATGTGAAAGCGATTGTCAGAACAAAGACAACTTGGCTATAAACTTTATCTGTTTCTAAAGGTAAAAAGTGGAACACACAGACATACAGACCAGTATTGTGTGTCTTATCGAAATGAGTAAAAATTATGAGTCACACTAGTATAATAGGATAATGATGTCCTTCAACTGGCAGGTCACATGCACCGGGGATAGCCTACAGACACATCAGACCAGATTAACTTGATGGGCACCTAAACGACTATTTGATTGGTTAGCTATGTATATAACTAGCACCTTGTCATCAAACAGCCAATGAGCATCTCCCTTGCACATGGTCTTTAAAAAGAACAGCAATAAGTGGTGTCTGACTGGTGATTAACGGCGACTTTGTGGAAAAGCCACCTTCAGTTTTAACCATCTGCCCAACGGCTATCATGGAAGATTCAACTGATTTCTCACAAATGGATCTCCATAGAGCATATAGATAATGGCTGTGGCTGCAGATGAAATTTGTGAAATGGCTATAATTATTTCTTTCGAAATCTACAATTTTCGCCCGTCCTCTCATTTTAAGGTACGCTGCACAAGCTTTTCATAGTTTCATCGATAATGTATTTAGGGGTCCCGACTTCGTGTACGTGTATATTGATGATTATTTGGTCGCAAGTCCAGACAGAGAATCTCATTTCCATAATCTGGACCTCGTTTTTAAACAAATTTAGAGAAGCATGACATTACTGTAAGCATTCAGAAATTTTGGGTTTTAGCCAACTGCTTAGACGTTTTCGGGCACACTACTGACACTCAAAGTATTCACCGACAGCAAAAGAAAAGGATGGCCGCTTTCGAATACTCAGAACCGATTACAGTTAAGCACTTATGCACGTTTAACAATCTGGTAAGGTTTTACGGATGGCTCACACTGAATTGTAAGTCTGTCATGAGACCCTTAACAGACCAACGCCACGGAAATGTGGAAATCACCAGTTCGGACGATAACTGAGAAAAGCGCTTGTAAATTTATGCTCTTAGTCAGTAGTGGTACATTTTGCCTTGCTACTGTAACAGCGGATCTAATCCCAAAATTGTAGATTTGTCATGATGTGACAACCTAGTTTATTTGATCTGAAGTAGAAGTCACGTCATTGTCTATGACGGCTCGTTATGTCATGACGGTCAGCAATATGATGTTCAGTACTTCTAAAGAACATATTTCAGCCGGGAATAAAATAATAAAGTTAGTATGGAAAGGTATTAGTTACACAGAATGACCACGCCCACAGGGCTGAGGCATGCCATACCAACAAATTGTTCTCATGTTCCCCATTTTCGACCTTCATTAAGTATCGAGTATTGAATGGAAGTCTCAGCAATTTTATGTTCAGCTTCAAAGATTATATGGTTATGAACCGATAGCGCTACACTACTCTTCCCTTAGAATGAACGTGGAGTTGTTTTGATAACGAATCGCGTAGGATTGTTGAGCTCTGGAAGTTAACAAAAGGATAATGAGAATCCTCCGGGTTCAACAGCAACTGATCGAGAAATACGTGTAGTGATTCCAGTGTTTTATTTAATTCTTAATGCGTTTAAAATGAAAATCTACCTGGATATTTCTTCAGAGTTTAACAAAGTGGCATTATGATAGTGCATAGGGATTGGGAATTGAGTTATTTTAATTAGTTATTATAACAGTACCTGGTGATTAGTAGTTTATCTTTTTGAAAGTACAATTATTTTGTGTTCAGAATAGTAATCATATAGAACACAATCAGTGTGTTACCAATATGAATGTGTAGTGGCATTGGACAATAGCCACACAATCCACAAAGCTGTGAACACGAGACTACTCAGAAAATAGATATTCAATATTTAACTCGGGGAAATACCTAACAATGGAGAAGGCGCGGAGAATGAATTGAATGGACTGGAGTTGATCGAGTGGCATGGCTCGGCCATGCAGGCGTGGTCTCTGCTGAATGTTACCTTATATCTTCTATTCATATTAAATATACTGTTCCTTCTCTAGCCTAACCTTGTTCTACATCATGTATTGGTAATTGCTACGATACAATGAGTTGGTGTAGTCGATGGTGTGACTTCCACGTAAGATCTTATAGGTTAGGCAGTTATATCATGACAAATCTACAAATTTAGGATTAGGTCTATTATAAGAGCAGTACTAATATCATAGTAGACCATAATTCTACAAATGTTATCACTATTCTTGGTTAAAAGTAGAAAGGTCAGTTTTCGTTTATCCCGATATGCTGTCCCTATGAGTTGACTTCAAAGTACATCTGCATTACAGAGTCAACTGAAAGAACATAAAAGTGGAGTGGAAGAATTCCCAATAATGTTTCAGCTATTTGTTACGTTTAATATGGTTTACATAGTTATGGGGAGGTTTGTTCGACCTATTGATTACTTAGCCGTCACAGGACTTAGTAATACTAATAATACGTATGAACTACTAACGGAAATCCTTTTAATACATGGAAATACTGATAACTATGTGAGTTCCGGACAGACTACTGACGGTAACCCGTTCAACACTATTGTATCTTCAAGAGACACACTCTAAACTGTTTCAATTCAACTTGAGTTGTTCCGGTCATCGGCACAAATAGTCTGTATTGGTAAGCCTCAAGTATTTATTCGGAATCTGAGAAATCACATTAATACCTAGTGATGAAAGGTATGGTAAAGGAGTAATATCTTGAGTTGCCTATCAGAGCAATCGAGATCCATGGCTCATAAAACAGAGCAGAGAATAGCACATGCATCTGCATATTTGTAATGCTTAATGCGATGGAAATATAAAGTTACATTACAAGTGGAGTACATCCACAAATGATACGTATAAACATTTCATATTGAATACAGAAATGATTGCAGACACTGCGCCATCGAACCTAGTTAAGTACTGTATTTGACCTGAACAATAAAAATCATTTAGTCTTATTATTGCTCGTGATGGGCCCTAAATACGAATACTTAGTTATTACCCATGTTAAGAATAAGTAAACATATAAAATAACTTGACAGTGTACTAAGGGATACACTTATCTATATGTACGTTATGAGGGAATTGCATCCAAGTTGTCTCTTTATCAAGACAGTGGAGTTTGGTTGATTAGGTAGCGATGTAAAGTACGATTCGCAAGTGTATATAACAGATATAATAACAGTTTGTTTATGTGTCAGTAAGTAGAGGGAGAAAGAGATTTGACATACGTTGCGTTGTATTTACTTAAAAATAAACAGTGACATACTATGTGTAAAAATAAAATCAAGGCACGTCTGAAAAATTAGTCAATACCAATGGTTGTACGGATTTGAGGAAATTCTGGAAAAGATGAATAATGAGCAAATTTTCTTATGAACTGGGTCGATATTGCCATCAAACACTATAGAATTTAGACTTGAATGAAAACTCCTAGGCACTTCGGGGATATATAAGTCGTCCATTTCCAGTCATTTGCACTGCTTGGAATTTTTTTGAACTGCAAACTTGGGTGAACTTGAAGTTCACTTAACATAGTTTTACTTTTAACAGAAATGTTTATTATATTTAAGCTTTCTTGCACTAAAGTTTCGGATTGCTCCAACGGATTCGTAAATAATTTTTATCTAAAAATGCAATGGCTCGATAAGAGAATGGTTCTTCTGCCCAACCGTTGGAATTAGCTCTCAAATTAATTAGTGGACCCCTTCACTAGCTCCCGGAAAAACGAGTAGGACGGTACAAACCGAAATGTTTTACCATGTAGTGTCATATCTATCTATACCGTATTTCGCTTTGTAGATAAAGTTAGAACATGAAATATTATTACACCCAAAATATTTTGGACCGAATCTAACAGAAACAGTGAAAACAAAGTTGTTTTCGGACGTCGAAGGAACTTGCTCCGGGAAGTAAGTCATGTTGTTCTCTTAGTTGATGTACAGGTATGGCTTTATCATCGCTGTTACGAATATAGAGCATATTGGTGCTGGTATAATACAGCCAAATCGAGGATTTGTGCAATACCGAATAGTATATCGTGCCATCGTCTACCGGCCGTTCAAGGGCGAGGTCGTAGATGCTATCGTTACCCAGGTTACTAAGGTTGGTGTGTTTGCGGAAGCTGGCCCTCTCACTATTTTTATTTCTAAATATGTATGTACCCATTAATTAATACATCTTCTAGTCTGTCCCTTCCAATATTAAATTTGAAGGTGCTGAGACCACTACCGACGGTCTCAACGATGAAGATGAAGAAGAGGTATGTTTTACCATGTAATAGTATAGATTAGATTCGTCACCACTCTTCCCTTATATTGTAATCACTGGTGGGTTTTTATGCGTTTGTCTTGTAGACCCAAACAGTACAGATTGAAGATCGTATTAGAATCCGCATAATTGGTCTCAGAGTTGACGCCAGTGATATTGTAAGTTTTGCTTATTTTAAAGATTTCATTCAGTGTAACCAGCACTGCCTCAATTCTAAATGAGTTGATCCTTCACATTTCTGTTTTTCATTTAGTTACATTTGTTTCAACTCAACTTGGGACGACACATTTTTGTCAGGTTCTGCTCTATTCGTAACTGACTGACCGACCCAAGTTTTGTTATCATCCTAAACATTTGGGCTGTAGACAACATGCTGTTGACTAGTGTATGTTTCATGTTGTCGAAAGGAATGCCTGTTTACCACTGACCAAGTATGATACCCGACAATGCTTTCGGTATCAATTTGTAATGAATGTTACAAGTATTCTTCAAAGTAATCAAGAGACCTCGCTCCATTTCGAGTCATACTTTCAGCAGTCCTTCATTTGTAGTCAGTTTACTGGTCTTTCAGGAAATATATTTTGGTGAGACAATAATTTATGGACGACCTTTGAGTGCCTCCAAAGTGACCTTGAGAATATTCACCTAATAACTAGGACCACATGAAGGTTATGAACCAATGTGAGGGGTTAGAATTATGATTTACAGCTGATGGTTAAGGTTAGGAATTAGATCTATGGTTTTCATTACGAACTGACATAAGCTAAAATGCCAAATGGATGAGTGAATTTCGTGCCAAAATCCGAGACCAGTTATCTTTTACCTGATTAGTTCGCCCACAAATTATAGTTCCGTCCATATTTTATACTTATAAACCAATGCTTAGCTGCAGCAGTTAAATCCCGATCGAGCTCGAACACTACCAGTCAAGTCAGAGCTAATGCGAACTTTCGTCTGATTTTGCAGTCTCAAGTGGTGTCCGGTAAGGTTGTCAACTACCTCGGTTTTTGTTATATTTCATTATAGACCTGCTGGAAATAAAGTCCTCGTCGAGTGAATTTCTGGCGATTGATCTCCTTCCAGGAGGTCCACTAATCGACCTGGAATACGCAAATGACAGTTCTGTTTGAAGACGCTGATAAAATGCAGTCTTTTGGTAGCACTGAGCAACAATACCAGAATGTTTGGGATGCGTTCCTCCCTTTTTAAATGCAACTTATTGTTTCAGAACTGACCTGCGTCAACACCTGAACTAAGGATAGAGAGTGAAGTAGTCGGATGTATCGACAACTTCGCTCATCTTGTAAGTCTGATCAACCCTAATGGGTTGGTGTCCAACGAAATCTCTACACTGATTCAAAAGGTTGGTTTGAATTTTAAAAACTTACGTCACCTACGGCGAAATCGAAATATCCGTCTATTAATTAAGGTTGGACGCAGTGCATTAGGGAATGATGGTAAATCAGTCGATGAGGTTGTGAATCCTCATCGACTAAGATGGTTGGTCTACGTATTACGCATGCCCAACCACCGTTTACCACAGCGCGCAATGCTGACTGGTGTTGAAGACGGATGAAAGTTAGGGATGGCAAAACCAAAACGTAGCATCAGTCCTTAAAGTCACTAACTTCTGGTCTGAGCCATGTTGGTAGGTGCAGACCAATTGGTTGGGGTCTGCACGACTATCGTAACGAGTGGTTGGAGACTCTGAGTGATATGCCCCAGAATCAATCTCAATGGCGTAGGTGTATACACTTTTTGTTTTTCCTTGAACCGTGAAATTAAAATTACTTGGTACTACTTTTATTCCGAGTCCTTTGGTATTCTTCCTGTTAGTTTCATCTTCCCCTGCTGACATGCCACAGGACCCTCGGTTGATGCACATTTGTGCCTGACTATATTTATTATAAGAAACTGACCTCTACGATAATCTAAGCCGTAAGATGTAAGGTAATTCCACATATTTCTTCGCTTGCCTGCTTCGGTTCGGGCACCCGGGCAGTATTTCAATCCTCACACAAGTTGAATGATTTATGTAGCGAATATGTATTAGGTGCCTCCTTGTACCAATGTTTATGTGTTTAAATACATAACTCGCTAGAGGACAACCGAATATATTCACGTAATATCATTTTAGTCTTTCAAATCATAGTTCTAAATTTCGCCTTACATACCTTTGTAAAAATGAATATTATTTTTTCTCTGTAAGTTATTATTGCTTTGTGGTCAGAAATGGTCTTTTTTCGATCAATATTACGGTTTTGTAGTCTACAGTTGTTCTTTTATTCATACAAGTTAGTCGTTTGTAAAGACTTAATAAGTCACCCACGCTTGTCTGTGTACCACGATATTCCTAACCTGGGTTTTGAATTTTTTTTCATAGTTCGCCGTTGGCACTCTAATGGATGATTATCTTGGTGAGTTAGGTTTAATTATGTATGTAAGAATATCATTCTGATTATTTTTATATTGTTTCAGTAGAAAATCGAGAAACAAATATTTCATATGTGTAGCATTAATCTAAAAACAAATCTCGGTCACTGATTTGATTGTTAGAGGTTTGAGTCACTGGTTCAAATATTTCTTTCGTTTACCTATGTCTTACCAAGTATTCTTCAAACAAATATAAACAATATCAATTATTTTATACCGGATTTCAATTTGTTCTGCAAGTTCTTTAGTCTTACAATGCAAAACCCCGCAAATATGTCACACAGTGTGACTACTAAAGAGGTTAGAATAAATTCAAAGGCTACTCAATACATGGTACTTACGCTAGTCTTTGTGTTTCAGGTGAGGATGCATAGTTCACATTTATAAACATCCTACCAAATGTAGGTAGTGTTTCTATATCATTAGATGGTTGATTCTGTCAAAAACTTCAAGTGATATGTTTTATTTCGTCACATTATCAAAACTATATCAATAAGTAGCCTTAATTATGCACATCTCTGACTCGTTTGTGTGTAAACATCCATACATAAAAGTCTCATTTGTCAGCGAGGTTTTATTTACTCGTTTGTCTGGGTATTTAACATTTTTGTGTAGTGAATGATTCAGGGTTTGTTGAATACGCTTATTCCTTTACATCGTTCTCCGTTTTGATGTCTTGCAAATTCTTCAGTGCATAATAAAATCTTACTGCATGTCTAGACGTTTTTTATGTTGGGCTCAGGGACATAGGGAAGTCCTTTGGATAAGCCAAATATTCATTTTTCTCACGAAATTCAACTCGCTTTAGTTACTTTACACGTGATTGGTGTCAGCAGGTAACACAAAAGTTACTTTCCAGTCTGCATCATCCAGAAATATCTTTTTTTCTGATTAAGTACTTCTTACTCTACCGTGCAATTAAGATATTCCTAATATGGGAAATATGACGTAATGTTTATATTTCCACCATTCTCTCAGTAAATCTATCAAAAAGTATCTCTGATCAGTTAGTATAATATTTTAAGTAAGCTCACTTCATTTCATTTCAACTAACATATAACAGAATCACACTTCAAAACTACAGAGAAATAAACAAAACAGTTTGTTTTAAATATATTACTATGACTAACAGGATTCGAATATATCAATGAAATGTAATTGGAATAGTATTTCCCGATTCATGTGTTAGGAATACATTTTTGTTATGTTAATAGATTACCTTTATTCAAATCACATGTAAAGGCTAAGTTATGTCTCATTGATGGATTAGAAGTTCGTATTCTAATGGTTAGATGAAACCTTTTATACAGGAATTTGATTGTCTTGATTTTAATTAATTGCTCGAGGTTCATTTTAAAGAAAGTCATTTTTATATTACTAATTATTCCACCGGATATTACTTTTAGTTCTTTTTTTCAATCGTTTATTAGGTCCATGCACCTAGTTTCCAAACTGTTGAATTTTGGTAAAGTTTTCGACTTAAACATCATGTTGTTCAGACTACCGTCTTCTAGTGAAGTCGTTTCGAGGATAACTGCTTTTGTACAAATATGGCAATTGATTCTACTGTAAATATATATTTTTTTGTATAAATACAAATGTTTGTTAGTGATTATTAGTACTCCCTTATTTCCGTAATATATCGGGGAAACATATATCAACATAAAATCTACATAAAAGTATATAAATCAGAAATGCTGCTTTTCTTAGCAACAAGGGACGGAAAAGTGATCGAAAGTATATTGTTTATTCCAAAAATCTTAGGATGACCTATGTGAGTTACTTTTCACGTCCTTCTGCTTAACGACACAACGATTCGCATACAATCAAGTGTTGTTCTAAAGTTGTTTTGACATTGAAGGTGAGTTCTGTGCTTGTACTAATCCTCTTCATCAACCTGCAACTCGAATGTATTCATTGCCTGTAATTTAGCAAGCGATTTGGCCGTTTCATAATGTATTTTCGTCACTGTGAATTAAATTTTTATCTATCTGTCATTTTCAGAACAGCGTTTTGAGCTGAATAATATGACTTCATTTTATTTCATTAGGTTATCAATAGCTGCTTTTAATGTGTATTGTCTTGAAATAGAATTACAGAAAGCTTTAGAACACGTGGATTAATTTGGTTGAATGCTAGTATGAACACGTATCACTGATTAAAATGAAGTTGAATGACTGAGTGAAATGTGGTATTATGCATCATAATAGTACACATGGACAAAGGATATTGATACTACCAAAGGACATAGGGCTAAAGATGAGCGGTTATAACGTTATGAATAAAAGCCATTAATAATTAGAGGTAAATGAGGAAGGCTCACTGGGTTATCAACTTGAATCGAGTCTAAAAATGGTTCGACAAAGTAATCAAATGACAGACAGAGGATAAACTGATCAAATATGTCATGTTACCAGGGCAAAGAATGAATGACGACTGTTTCCTTGGCAACGAGTTGGGTTTCTGTCATGACGTTCTTGATTTCCGAAATCCCCGTTGCCAATTGTTATATCTGGTGGCCGACTGTCATGACTGCGTCAGTAATTGTTATATCTGGTTGTCGCTTATTGTTATTTTGGAATCGCTTGTCACTTATACTAAAAAATGAGGAACTACTGCAATCCCCATGGTGCGAAAGTAAGAATACGAAGACTGGTACAAGTGAAAGTTTATTAACTCCAAAAACACGACGACCCTAGTTGAAAATACGCTCATTTATATAATGATTCGTACCCCCATTTTGATTAATAATTAGGATTAAATCACATATATGAAAAATCATATGCTACATGTCATGTTGACCATAGTTTAGGTCAATTGAATACAAGAATATCGTATGTTGCACAAAATAAAATGTCATACGGGAAAACAAAACTAATACTACATTGAGTAATCAAGACATTGAATTAAAACGGAATTAATGTTGAGTAGCAATTATAATGAGTATATCAATCTAATTTCGACTCTTTTTCCTATCATACCAGTTTGAGTTGTTTGATAGCAAGAGCTTCGGTAGATTTTAGAAAACGAGACTTCGTTGACCACTTTTAAAGATCTAATGGTATCGTCCTGTTGTCCCATTCCCAAGTGATGTCTACAAATATCACTACTGAACGTGTTGAGTACCGTGAAGGATTTAATTTTTAATGAAACGAATGGGTCAAGCCGGAAATGTTACACAAACGTTCATGAATTCGCTTATTTTGTTGACCAACTGGAACACAAATTTCTATGGATAGTGTTACCCATAGATTGTGGCGACTGATCTCAATTCCTCATATACAGGGTTGTCATTCATTTGCTAGTCAGACTTACTGAGCATATTAAAAGTGAATAGATGAATGTGATTCAATCTAAGAATGAGTTCAAATTTTGTTTTTATTAATTATTTTGTATGGTTCATTATTAGTCTTTGTACATTGCTGCCGTATCTAAAAAAAGCTTCTATTTGTAAAAGATCGTGAATGCGCACTGCTGAGGAGTCCCACAATAGGAAGAATCGGCCGTCCAGTGCTTCCAGGTTTTCCATGGTGGTCTAGCTTCAATTGACTCACGATCTCAACTATAATAAAAAATCTACAAAACCCCTTTTGGAAAAAATTAGTGTGATTTTTACAAATATTCAAACTACTATCATTGTAGAAGTAGTTCATAAATTCCAATAGATTTTTATGCATCGTTTTAATGTATGATGTTCTGAAACGCAAAAATTACACATCCGGTTTAATACAAAATAATATTCAACTAACTATACCCTGAATAATACAATTTGCCACTTTTTAAAGCTTAATTGTTTGTCAGAATGTACCAATATAGGATGGAACTGTTATATACTAACGAAGAATAAATGAATGGTAACTGCTTGGAATTATTTATGGACTACTACTACATATATTCCTATTGGATAACTGTTAAGTAACTATTATATGTATATTCATATTCCTTTTATTATAAGCTTCCATTTGACTTACTGACTATTATACGTTTTACTATTCTTAAGTTATCCTCAACTTGTTGGTTACATTGACAGCCACTTTTGGCCTGGTCTTCTATAATTGTTCTTTTCTGTTTTATGGTATGATACGGTTTGATTTGCTTTTATAGAAACTGAGTGTGTCTGAAATACATGATTCATACAGTGGTAGTTGAAATTGTGTTCTGGACTCAAATAGACAGGGCTAGGCGAGAAGATCCAATAAGGACTCCGAGTTGGCTCTAGGCTTCTGTATTGATTAACGCGTCATTGGTTTTGGCACAGCGCCAAGGTCATATAAGTCGGTGTTCTATTGGCGATTTAGGCACATGATAATTAACAGGGGATAAGAAAATAATTCATAATGAAATCTCACCCATTCCACGCGTATTGTGTGGGTAATGTCAGCATATTTATTTCACCACCTACGGATAAATGTGTAGTTTCGGCTAGTAAGTATACAAAAAATAACTGAATTTGAGTAATCCCGCCATTTTTTTAGCCTATAATATACTAAATTGACTAAGCTATATTGAAGTAGAGATATTACAATTCCAAAATAATGTAGATTAACAATAAATATTTTTCAAAGGATTTATTTTAGTTCAAAAAAAATTGTATTTAAATATGATCTCTTATCTACATTTTCGAGATTATATAAAATAATGCTCAATATATAATATGAAATCTTAATTACCCGAAATTTTAAGTTTTCGAATGGGATCAAGAAAGAACCACATAATATAGGATAGATAATTAGTTAAATGTTTCGAAAAGGAAGAAGTAAAAACTTTGGAAGTTTATATTTCTATCAATTCACGTGATGATATTAAAATAATTGCTTTTGAGATGGTGGAGAAGATTTGTAGCTCAGGTGAATGATTTTGGTGGAGTTTTGTTCGCTGAGCTGGATGGTTTGGTTGTGGAGCTTTCATTGTCCTCCTGAACGACATCATCAGCACGAACTTCAAATAGAAGACCAAACCATCCAGTTCAGAGAACAAAACTCCACCAAAATAATTGCTTTTAAATATGCTATGAGTTTTAGATTCAAAGTTTATCCAAACTAATTAAACATGAAAAACACTACAAGGTAATGTTCATAGATCTTTCTTTACATCTCAACTATGAGATTAGTTTTCTTTAGTCGATTTGCTTATATAGAATAAGATATTTTGGTCGTTAAGTGAGCATTCTATTCAAAAAAGGTTTAATAAAATTTCTATGTATATTTAAAGAAGATTATAGTAGATTATTAATGATGTGATTAACTGAATACCTTGTGAATATGGATCATTCAACTTAAATCAAGTCATCAATCAGAATCACCTATAAGATGAACTGAAGACTATCAAATGTAGCGAACTTTTGTTTTTGGTTTCCTAATCTCCATCTTTATACCAAGAAGAATGAGAACCACGCGTAGAAAATAAATTAATTCGATTGTTTAATTCCGCGAAATCACCCGTTCTTTGTCTGTCTTATATCTTGTTAACATTTCACATGTGATTTGTTTCTGTTATCCTAAGTTTTTTGATAACACTTTACTTGTAAAATTTACCTTATCTTATTACGAAACTTCGATTTCACAATTAGTAATATTTAAACTCTGTGACATTCTCAATGAATATCCAATCTTTTAGATATTACATTTTCATTATCTAGTAGTATTAGGATTTTGTTACTATTTCTATTTTGTACCTCTGTCATAGTGTTCGTTATATTATTGTTACTATCAAAGCGGATACTGTTGATTATTATTATTGTGAAAAACAGTACATGATTGTGCGGCGAGACTATATTTTATGGACGAAACAATCAAGTATAAGATAACTGGTCTCGGATTTTGGCACGAAATTCACTCATCCATTTGACTGAATAGAGTTTTGGCATTATAATTTATGTCAATTCGTAATGAAAACCATAGATCTACTTCCTAACCTTAATCATCAGCTGTAAATCATAATTCTAATCCCTCACATTGGTTCATAACCTTCATGTGGTCCTAGTTATTAGGTGAATATTCTCAAGGTCACTTTGGAGGCACTCAAAGGTCGTCCATAAATTATTGTCTCACCTAATTGTGCTATTTAACTAAGAGTTTTCTGTAAACTAATTGAAAATATTAAAGATGTTTGCCTATTCATAAAAGTATGAACTAATAACTTTGACTAAACATTTAGCAATCAAAACTGTATGTTTTTTGAAGACAGTAGCCATACAATAACAAGTGATCAATATAATTTTACAGTTATAATTACCTACAGGGGAAAAAATGCAAGATATTGACTTTTTACCGTTGAATTATGGTTGGAGCATAGCATAGTATACTACCTAGAAAACTACTTTGTTTCAATTTGCTTATGATTTACATTGGGTTTACAACTCATGTTAAACACTTTAAAATGATTAAAAGTCAGTCAAGTGTTTCTTAATGCTTAAGAACCTAGAAACCATCTAACAGACAATTATAATTGAAATTAACAAATGATTTAGTTTCAACATCAGGCTGGTCAACTTCATACTAGTGTATTTGATTTAAAAAAATAGGCATAACTTACAACATTCTTAAAATACAATACTAATTTTTATCAGAAGGGGTTTTGTGGAAATTTTTGTAATTTCAATAGTTGAGATCATGAGCCAATTGAAGCTAGACCACCATGGAAAACCTAGAAGAACTGGACGGCTGATTCGTCCTATTGTGGGACTCTACGGTAGTGCGCACTCACGATCCCACCTCGCGGGGTTAGGCATTAAACCGTTGGGTGCCGGCTCAGTGGTCTGAAAGTTAAGCGCTTGCGCGCGAGACTTGTAGATCCTGGGTTCGAATACCGCGAGGCGGGTTCGTAGATGAGCACTGCTGAGTCCCACAATAGGACCAAACGGTGGTCCAGTACTTCCATGTTTTCCATGGTGGTCTAGC